TGTGTGTGTGTGTGTGTGTGTGTGTGTGTGTCGTGGCATGTACTCTCTTGCGGTAGTGATCGAGAGGTGTACCAGAAGTAGATAAAGGTTTTGTCTTGAATGCCGTCCAATTCTGGAGTGCTGTTGTTGATGTCGTGAACAGCCAAAAAAAGTCGTTGATGTGCATGATATGATCCCTTGGAGATTGGAACTTGTCGTCTGAATGCAGATGTCCATTCATGGTAGTTGGAGACTTGCAAATGCGAATGTTTGCTGGTATCCTGTTTTGTGATGTTGTCCAACCGGGGGTGTGTTCGCGGTTGCCAAACGTCCGGGCGGCGGTAGGGGGACGTCGCCGGGACGAAAGCGGCTGTCCACAAGTCCCCGACCATTCACCAACCCGCAAACACTCTCCGCCCTCCTTTTTTTTTATTTTTGTTCCATGGGGGGTGGTTGGCGGTCGAATCGTTTGAGGGGAGGGCGGGTTATGAGGGGTGGAGGGCAAGTGAGTCACCCGCGAGTGCTCAATCCTCTTGGTAGCTAAGATGCCAGGCGGGACGTTGGGTGGCCGTTGATGGCGACTGCTTTGGGGGCTGCCTTCTGGGCGAGGGGCTCCTTTGTAGGCGCGATTGACGAAGGGTGGCCACGATATGTGTGGAGTGTTCGACGTCCACCAATATTGTGCCCCGCAACATTTGGCCTTTCGTTTCCGCGCCCGAGACAAGGCCCGCGGTAGAATGACTCAGAACGTTGGGGGATGGAGTCGTCGTTTTGCAGTCGTGAAGGGTGTCCGGTCGTCGCCCTCCACCACGCAGGGGGACGTGTTTTTATTAGCTAGCGGACCCAACAACGCCACAACAAACATCGCAGTGACCACGCGGGCCACTCAGTACTTGCCCTGTCGCCTTCTTCACTCGCTTCCTTCTCGCCACATCGCCATCGTATTCGTCCCCACCGTAGAATCCTTTCTCGCCTTCGTCTTCCCACTCGTTGAGAACGCCCTCACATACGTCGCCTTCCACGCCGTCTTCGCCGCCTTACTTTCCGACCCGCAGTCGATCCAGCCTTCTCCTTCCACGCCGTCTTCGGACTGCGCCAACGTCTTCCTATGCGCCTTCGTCGCCTTTTTCGTCGTCATCGTGTTCGTCTTCAGCACAGACGTCCCTTCGCCTTCCACGCCGTCTTTGGACTGCGCCAACGTCTTCCTGTGCGCCTTCGTCGCCTTTTTCGCCGTCATCGTCTGCGTCTTCGACACCGACATCCCTCACGCGAACCTTGTCGCCTTCGTTACCATCTGCGCTGTCACGCTGTCGAAGGACTTGGACGCCGTGCTCTATTCCCCCATCATCGCCGCTCTTCTTGGCGGTGATACGGGCCGTCACTCCACCCACCAGCCTTGCGTGTCGTGGAGGGTGTGTCGCGCGCCATGGCGTCCCGAGGTTCTGGACGCGGGAGATCTGCCGGGAAACAGGCGGTCGACGCGTCTCTCCGAGATAAAAGGGGCCGCCACGTGGCGAACAAACAGAGAAAGCTCGTCCAAGGGGCCTCTGCGATAGCGATACACGCAGACGCGGAAGACTGGGTGGCGGAGGGAGACGATTCACATGTCGAAAGCGACTTCGCCGAATCGGAGGAAATCCCAATGAAGCGCAAGTCCTCCAAAAGGCAGACTGGAGCCCTCCGGATCGATGACATCGGCGAGAGGCGTAGCGCAGGGTGTCGCGGGGCAAATGAACAAGACGTCAATGTCGCCGCTCGTCCGGCGACGGGACGAGCCGTGGGGAGTGCCGCCACGCAGCAGAACCGTGCGCCTTTGCCACGTGTCAACGAACCCCCGGCCTCGCAAGAGGTGTTCGTCCGCGGCCGAACGCCATCAACCCCACGACAAACGACGGCCACAGAAGTCGGCGTCGCCGCACAAGGCATTGCTCAGGGGATCACCAGCCGATCTCCTGCGCGTGACGAGCGCAGGGCGTCGACGGTGGTTGCGGCGCGCGCTGCAGACGTGGCAAAGGCAGGCGCCGCAACGGCGGGTGGTGCGTCCCAGGCTGCTGAAGGGGGGAGGTCAGTCGGGGCCGCAACTGTGAGGGCTTCGCATGCGGTGGAAGGAGCCAGGGAAGGTGGGGGGAATGCTGGCGAAGGGAGCAGGGCACGCGCCGTCGCTGGAGTCGGGGAGGACGATGAAGCGCTGACGAACAGGGTGCGCCAGCAGAGCGCGCGTGAAGGGATCGACGCGGCGTCCAAACTGTGGGTGGACGACATTCGTTTCTGAAACGAGACGGAGGGAAACGCAATTGTCAAGCTCATGCAGGAAGCGCGGCTGTATCTTGTGGCGGTGGTGCGGGGTGTGTAGCCTCCTGCGATTCGACGCAGCATCGTCCTGCCACACACCACCATCCCGCAGCACAAAATCGACGACGAATCGGAGTTCAGCGCTGCGCAAGATAGGGCGCTGAAGGTGCAGACCATCGCTCTGCGGGTGATCCACGGGTGGGTGTTCAAGTCCGCGAGCAGGCAACGGGGTTAGCACGCTGCGTACGGGTACGCGCTGAACCATGCGGTGACTGACATCGCGCGTGCGATCTGGATGGGGGAAGACTGGCGTGTGTGTGTGAGCCCCATGGTTTTCCACACTACGCTTGACATGGACATGAAGCTGCCATTGTGGTTCGTCGGTGCTTACATCGAGGACAGGCACGAGGACGACGAGCTGGTGGCGTATCAGGAAGCGAGCGTCCAGAGACTGGTGGGTGCGTTCACGAGCGCCGTGAGCACGGCGGAGGGAGTCGACGGCGGTCGGGTGTCGCATGAGAGGCTGAAGAGCGTAGCCGAGGCGATGCAGGTAATGCTCGCCGCGACGATGTGGCTTATGCGGATGGGCGGTGGCGATCGTCGTGCCCATTACAACACGTGGGTATTCGTCCAGCTGACGGCGAAACCCACATTAATCGCATCCATGCATCGCTCGTTCGACGCGCGTCGCCACATCGTGCAGGCCGCAACTGCCATCACGGATAAGCTGGCGAAACCCCCGATCACCTTGCTGGCCCCTCCACTGTACATCCCGGACTGGGTGTCAATCGGCGTGAAATTTCTCGCACGACGCCACTTTGTCTTCCCCAATGGAGGCTCAAAAGCTCCATTGGTTGGGCACAGGGCCACCGGAAGACGGCGATGACGCCACTGTGAACGACAATATGAGCGCGGGGGGTTCATGATGCCTTTGGGTGCACAGGGAGTAGTTTGATGAGGTGGGTGCATGTGTGCACCTTCGTGTACAATTAGAACAGGGTGTGCGCCAGGGTTTGCTGCTAGTGCGGACGATGTCGGTGGTCGTTGGGGGTGGACGTTTCTATGTTCGTTGTCACAACCGCAAGCGCATTCGGGCTGGGGGTTTCTTTTGGACTTTTGTTTTCATTAACATGTTCATCCTTCAGTTAGGAGTTTTTTTGTTTTTCTTCGGTTCTGTGCATGCGAGTAATAAGGGTGGCAATGATTTTTTTTTCTTCGCGCCTGCGTCGTCCACTTTGCAGTTGTCATTATCCGTTGGCGTACACATTCATAATGGGATTGTTTGTTGTCGAAGATTGAATGCTTGGAAAAAGTGCTAACCGATGTTTGTCCACACACATCATCACGCATGTTGGAAGCGAACGTGGCATGACAAACAACAGACAACCCCGTCATGCAATTGTGTGAATGTCGTTGTTGGTGAAGGAGAAAGACAAGCCGCACACCGTCCACGCCGCAGACAATAAGGAACATGGCAGATCGTTGTGCGTGAGAACACGAAAAGAGGACGACAATAAGAAACGAAAAATTAAGAACGGCGAAGGAAAAAACAAAACAAAACAAAACAAAACAAAACAAAACAAAACAAAACAAAACAACACGTCCGTGGAGACAGAGCGTGGAAAACGAAATGGGTCATTAATCAATTTCAGTGAAAAGATCAACCAAAACACAACAATAAAACCAATGATCGACACGATAAGCCTGCCACCCTCACACGTCGCCGTAGCGACAGCGCACTACACAACAAGGACTTGTCTGCACGTGGGCGCTTCTCACATCGCCCCTCCTCGCCTACGTTTTCGACTGCGCAAACGCAGTCCGCCCCTGGTGCAGCCACACACCCGACATCGCTCGAATCCTAACACAACGAAATAAACTACCGACACACGCCGCCGCGTGCCCGGAAAACAAAAGTACGACGCCCATCACCGCCACACTACTCGCGAGATCCGACCGATGGATGACAAACACAACGGCGACAACTCGTTGCACGACATGGAGCACCCCGCGTCTTCTCGCCACGATTTCGACCTTCCACCCCGCGGGACACGGCCGCGTTTAATCGCCTCAGCCACGCCATCAAGGCAGATCCCTCCACTCGCCTCGGCGTCTTCACTGTGCCGCCATTCTCTCAGCCAATGCGTCACGTAGAATGAGCGCATCCCCTGTGGAGGACTCCATGCACATCTGCCTCACGGGACGATCCATCCCAAGATCCACCCTGCGACGAACACCATCCGGCCCGACCTCCCAAAGCAGATTGTCGTTGAACGGGATGCCCGTGTCGATGAGGATGTTGTGGAGAATGCAAACGGCGACGAACTGCTGCGGCAACGTCTCCATGTTCGTCTTGTGGGATCGAAGGAACAACCTCCACATCCCCTTCAGTCTGCCAAAAGCCCTCTCCACTGCGCCCCTCGCCGTCTTCTGCTTGTTATCGAAGCGCATCTCCACAGGGTTTTGGGATACACTGCCGTAAGGGACGACAACCCATTCGGAGGGCGGGTACCCGTTGTCCCCCAGCAGATATCTGTCCGTACGCACACCGAAAGGCAGCATGACAGGTGGGCCGGTGAAAAGCTCTCCCGCCTCCGCGCGTGCCCATAAACTGGACAGATGGCCGATCCTGACGTCGTGGCAGCTTCCCGGGTAACCGACGAACACATCCAGCACGCGCAAGTTCAAATCCACGACGACCTGTGCCTGCACGGAGAAACGTCGTTTCCTATAGTAGTAGTCCTCCCTGGGGCAATTAGCAGGCTTGTCGATGAAGATGTGGGTGCAGTCAATGCACCCATGGCAGTTGGGGAAACCCTTGTCGGCGAAAGCGCGCAAGACGACCGCCTTCTGCAGACCCGTCGGCCACGAGATCTTGTCAGGGAACGCACTGAGCAACGCCGCACTCACATCCCGCACCGCCACCAACCCGGAAGATCTGCCAATGCCAAAGCTGCATGTCCCGCTCTCGTATGTATCCCCCGACGCCCACCTGCACAAAGCGTAGGCGACAATCTGGTCTGGCTGTACGGGATCCCTATAGTAAGTGACACGTTGCTCAAGGAATGGAGACAGAGCTTCCGTTATCTCTCGGAATACACGTGGCGACATTCGTAGCTTCTCCCTGAAGTAGTCCGCCGTCGCGTCGTCGCACAGCCGGAGATCCTCCCAAGTGCCACCTGTACGTCGCTTCATCCACCATCTGGGCGTCGCTCTGGGGAACGCTCCACACCCCATGGCGTAGCACACCTGCAGCACGGCGTCGCAAATGGCAGCGTTGTCGTCGCCCCCCACAGACGGCGACTGCAGCGTCCGTTTTCGCCGCGCGCGAATGGCCGCTCTCATCCTCCCCTCGCCCCTCTCCATGTGGCACCGGAAGAGGACGGCGCTCACGGCCGCTGCCACCGCAGTCCTCTCCGCCTTCRATAGCGCATGACGCATGTCCATCCCCTCCGACGCCATCGCCRTAAACGTTACCGAGGTTYCGCYCGTCGCGAAGTGCAGAAGACCGCAGACCACGAATCAACAGCGAGGATCCGCACGTCCAACCGCGATCGTCACACGTTCCCGAAAGTGCAGAACGACAGTGCTCACCGCAACCGGCGATGGAAATCCACNTCAACAGCGAGGATCCGCACGTCCAACCGCGATCGTCACACGTTCCCGAAAGTGCAGAACGACAGTGCTCACCGCAACCGGCGATGGAAATCCACGTTCCCGAAAGCGGGAGGACGAACGCGATCGTCACACGCCTTCTCCACTGCTTCCAACGCGTACATGTACGTTCCGCGTGTCGTCAGAAGCGCGCCGCCGCCGAGATCCGAAACGGCCACCGCCGAACAAATTTCGAACTGGGACACCGCGCACGCTTGATCTCAAAAATTCGAATTCAAATTTCGAACTGGGACACCGCGCCTTTTCCGTGCCATTTTTTTTTCCCCGCCGCAGAGCCGCTGTGTCATGCACGCCGCCAGCACTGGACCACCCACACCCACACGGACATGCAGGATGGACCAAATGCCGACCACCCCCCTCGTCCACTCGTCGATATATGAAACTGGCCGTGGGACGCCCCGAGGAATCGTCCTCGGGGAACATTTCCGAGGATGAGTCGTCCTCCGGCGACTCCAAGGAATCGTCCTCGGGGCCCGAGGAAGCCCCGAGGAGTGTCAAACGAGCCCCATAGAGTTAGTCTGACATCTGTCAGAGCGTGCTCTGTGGCCCATTTCAAGGAAGGCTCAGACTACTGTAAACGAATATGGTCCTCTTGGACGCTCACATACAGTCATCTTGACTGCCACATCCATGGTCAATGAATCATACCCTGATATCTGACATGCTGCCTGGATGAAACAGGATCCGTGGAAAGTGCACTTCCTTCGCTTTTTTCGCAGTTCTCTCTTCATTTTTTTGTCAAGATATGGTTTTTCGTTTTTATTTTACCTATTTTACTCTGCCACTCACCCGTCCCCCACCTGTCCCACACACGTGACACTAATCTAACGACATGGTAGTGGGATCTCCCTCCAGGTTACTTGACTGAGTCTTCTGGCCAAACCTACCCAGCCAGGCACGCGCGTAGGCCACCTCACCATATATATACGATATATATCGTCACAATATATATATCGTCACAAATAGAACTGCCCAGTAAACCGTAGGCAGAGAGAGAGAAGAGGACAACAAACGAGGGGCTGTGACAAACTGTTTCGTCGGAGTTTCACCAACTCATCAGGAGGCTGAACCCTATATCGTCATATATATATATATATATATAGTCACAAACAGAACTGCCCGGTAAAACCGTAGGCAGAGAGAGAGAAGAGGACAACAAACGAGGGGCTGTGACAA